CAGATAAGGAAATCAAGGCACAGAGAGGTTGAATGACCTGCTTGATATCACTCAGCTAGGAGGGAGTAGAAACAGAATTCACCTTCCATCTGGCAGTGAGCGCGCTTGCTTGTGTGTGTGTGTGTGTGTGTGTGTGTGTGTGTGTGTGTGTGTGCACGTTCACCTGTCAGGGGTCAACCTCAGATGTTGTCTCTCCCTCAGGGGCCGTCACCTTGTTTTTTGATACAGGGCTGCTGGTTTTTTCTTCTTTTTTTTGAGGCAGGTCTTACTAAGTAGCCTTGGCTGTCCTGGAACTCATTTTGTAGACCAGGCTGGCCTCTAACTCACAGAGATCCGCCTGCCTCTGCCTCCTGAGTGCTGGGGTTAAAGGCACTCACCACCACATCCGGCTGACACACAGTTTCTCACTGGGACCCATGGTTCACGCATTAGGTTAGGCTGATTGGCCAGTGAGTTCCCAGGATCCTCCTGTCTCTGCCTCCCCAGTACGGGGATTACAAGCACATGCCCCCGCACCTGGATTTTTATGTGGGTGTTGGGGTTTAATTCGGGTCCTTAGGCTTGCATAGCAAGCCTTTAACTGACTGAGCTGTCTCTCCAACCCCTGACCTTGAACATTTTACACACTTTGTTCTCTAACTTGATGATAAGGGCAAATTGGGTATATGTAAGGGTTCTCTCTTGGGATATAGAACCCCAAAGGATCATCATGCCCATTTTACAGAAGAGACAGTTAAGACCAGAGGAGAGTGGGCTGATGAGGTTCATTGTGTAGAGGTGCTTACCGTGCAAATTTGGCGACCTGAATTTGATCCCTGGAACCCACATAAAGATGGAAGGAGAAAACCTACTCCACAAAGTTGTCCACTGACATCCACCTGTGTGCTGTGTCATGTGTTCACACACATACATCATGCACAGAAACATGAGAGAGCCAGGTGGTGGTGGTGGTGGTGGTGGTGGTGGCGGCGGCGGCGGCGGCGGCGGCGGCGGCGGCGGCGGCGGCGGCGGCGGCGGCGGCAGCGGCTGTGGCACACTGGGGAGGCAGAGGGAGGCAGATCTCTGTGAGTTCGAGACCAGCCTGGTCTACAGAGCGAGTTCTAGGACAGGCTCCAAAGCTACACAGAGAAACCCTGTCTCAAAAAACCAAAAAATAAAAAAAGAAAAAAAGAAAGAAATGAGAGAGAGAGAGAGAGAGAGAGAGAGAGAGAGAGAGAGAGAGAGAGAGAGAGAGAGAGAGAGCAGCAGGAGAGCAGGAGTGGGGAGTGAGCTCTGAAGAGGGGAGTGATTCTCCTGGAGGTCAAGTTACTTGCAGGAAGGAGACTCCACTGTAGCTTTGACCCCCAGGCCCTGGCCTCCTCAGCTCCTCTGTCTGCCCACGCTGCATCCCGTTGTGTCCTTCAGAGAGGAGTTTTGGACATGCAGCACAGGCCACATCAGCTCTGACCTGGGAGCAGCCGCTCTGGCCCACTGGAGCCTCACTCTCCTCGTCTGTAAGATAAATAGCCTTGTCCAGATCCACAGCCCTCGCCCTGAGAGATGCTGGGGACACAGTGTTTTCTGTGTGCCTCACTGCTTCTCCATTAGTGCAGCCGCGAGGCCCCATTTCCCCAGCAGGATTTCTTCTCCAACCTGCTGCCAGCCTTGCAGGAAGCTGAAGAAGATGCCCAGTCAAGCCCAGAGCCCAGCCCTAGTGCAGAAAGCAGGCCTCCTGTGTCCCCATGCTGCCCCGGTGAATTCCGTTTTGTAGCAGAGCATCAAGCAGCTGTCTGTGATCCAGAGCCACACTGTGAACTACTTGAGGACAGGAGCACTGATGGAACCCTGCTGGATGAGGAATGTGTTCCCCAGAACTGAGCAGATTGAAAAGAGGCTGCTTGAGGCCTGGAAGGCCTGCTTGAGCAGGGCAGACTGGAATATAGTGGAGTCCCAGTCTACCAGCTGTAAACGGTAAGAGCCAGGAGCCCTGGACATTGACCGAGTGACTCTTTCCACAGAAGCCAGGGAAGCAGAGCAAATAAATGGGGAACTGAAAGTTAAGAGGATGTAGAGCAAGAAAGCTGGACAGATGCTTGCCAAGGGCTGTGGGAGTGTACAACAGGTGACAACTAGTGTTTGAAAAGTCGACCCACCAAATGTATAACTCCCTGATCGGGAGCCCCACCTGGCAAAGCCATGGGGTCACTGGTTGTGGAAACTGGTTGTTTTCTGTCTGTCACTTTCTCAGGTGCCACTGCTATGCCTCCCTAATAAGAACAGCTGTGAGGTTCCTTCCACAGCCCATTGGTAGTGCGTTTTTATATCTTTGGGCACACATATAGCTGTGGGTGTTCAGGAAGATGATTTCTATTTAAGCTATATATATATATATATTTTTTTTTTTTTGGTTTTTCGAGACAGGGTTTCTCTGTGTAGCTTTGCGCCTTTCCTGGATCTCGCGCTGTAGACCAGGCTGGCCTCGAACTCACAGAGATCCGCCTGCCTCTGCCTCCCGAGTGCTGGGATTAAAGGCGTGCGCCACCACCGCCCGGCTAAGCTATATATTTTTGATGTATAGAAATAATACTGAAATATTTTACATTACTCAGGCTGAAATAGGATTCTCAGTCTCAAAGAACTTTCCGCATTTTGCAAAGACCTTAGAACTAGTCCAAAACAGACTGAGCTGCCTCTTCAGAGACTAATTCCCAGGTGTTGTCTGTTGCTAAATCAAGGCCAGGCTGTTTATATCAAGTCCTTGCAGTAGCTCCCTTTCTGCGCGTACCCTGACTGCTCAAGGTTCCGCCAGCTGTTTATGTCTGGGACCCCTCACCAACTTAGAGCTACGTGCATGGGTCAATGTGACATTGCTAGCCTAAGAGAAACTACGTGACTTCTCCTGTGTTTTGAGAATGGGTAGGGCCCTGGAAATGTGACTTATAATTGTCCAGATGTTGGCTGTGGAACAGAGCAGGAGCGATGTAGAGAGAGGGGCTGAGGAGGAACAGCAAAGGAGAGCGGGACAGCAGTGGAGCAGAGAGAGAGAGAGAGAGAGAGAGAGAGAGAGAGAGAGAGAGAGAGAGAGAGCCGAGGAAAGGTGTAGAGACAGGTGTGGAGGCAGTGAAAGAGAATTAGAGAAGCTGCTGAGTCGAGACTGAGAAGGGATGAAGAACTCACGGGGAAGCTGTGGGGAGAGATTTTTCAGAGAGACTTTTTCAAGATGAAGTAAAGAGAAAGTTACCATCAGAAAGTGTCTGTTTCTTTATTTTCCCCTCAGTAGAAAAGGTCTAGCCCTCAGACAAGAATTTTTCCTAAACCCTTGCTACTCTGAGATCTTTTTGCTACCCTGGAGCAGGTTGGGAGCTGGACTCTCGGTCTGTGATAGATGCTGTCTGAGGGCAAGTGAGTGCCAGGCCCTGGCATGTGCCTCTGATTGGCCATGCTGACCATTACACCGGGGAGGCCTTTGGATGCCACAACCTTCACGGGTGCCTACACCGACAAAGAAAGCTAGCAGGTGGGGAATGCATGTCCTTCATGAGGTAGCCAGCTAATTGGTTAGGAGCTCCCCCACCCACAACCAGCAAGCTTTGTCATCCCAGCTCTCTTTAGTCAGATTTGAGCCCAGCCTGACCATGGTTCTGGTCCAATTCAGTAGGGTCCCTATGCCTCCTCCTGTCACCTCATCAAATCTGGCAAGGTAAGGTTGTCGTCTCCTTTGATGGATGGGGGAAACTGAGGCTTCAAGTGCAGGAGAGTTTAGGCAGCTGTTACAGAGACTGGCTTGAGGCTGTGTCCTTCTCAGTGGCCTGTGCAACCAATGGAAGTGAAGGATGGGCAAAGCATGAAGCAGGCACGTGGGAGGCAGTGGGGAGCAGGGAAAGGAGGCATTTGCAGCAAACACATGCGGTGCTTGAGGCAGGGGCATTGATGTGTCTAAGACCTTTGCAGCAGTTTGTGTTTCCGAATTGCACCATAGCCTGTCTGATCTCCAGCCTTTGTCCATGCTGATCCATGTGCAATAGATATTCCCTGGGCACCTACAATGCAGCCAGCGCCGTCTGAGAAGGGCCGTGCATAGTAAGTGCAAGGAGAGGCAGCCTTGCCCTGCTGTGTGCTTTTAGTCAGGACAGGCTGTGGCTGAAACCCCTACTCCCTGGTCAGTGATTCAGAGTGATAATGTCCCGTCTTACTGTGTGGCAGTGAAATCCTCCAAACACCTGAGATTGCTATGTTTTCTGTAACAATGACCCCAAATCTGAAACCTGAAAAGCTGTTCCAGGGGCCAGGCCAGGAGGTCAAGAGTCAGGTGTGTGCAACTCCAGCATCTGGGAGGGAGAGGCTGGAGGATCAGGAGCACAAGGTCGGCTTTGGCTTTCTAGTGAGTTTGAGGCTATAAGATACATTGCCTCCAAATAAACAAATAGAGCTGGCAAGATTGCTCGGTAGGTAAAAGCACTTGCTGTGTGTCCTTGATGACCTTCGATCCAACCCCAGGACTCAGTGAAAAGAGTGAACCAACTCTGACCTCCACGTGTGCACTTTCATGAGTGCACACATGCATACACACACACACACACACACACACACACACACACACACACACACACACACACACTAATTTTTAAAGTCTCAGCTCTGTTCCCACAGTCTAGCTTCTAGGCCAAGTTCCCAGTGGCTGCCAAGGACACATATTGCCCAGGACCTCTTTTGTGCTTGGTTAGTCTTGCCAGGTTTCTAAGCTCTGAGAAAACAAGGAACCTATCACTGTATCTCCTGGACCTAGCCAAGCCCTCAGTGGACCCTGTGCCAAGACATCAGGCTGGAACCTGAAGAACTCACAGACCCACCAGAAGGCCTGATACCTTTCAAAGAGCTCAGACCCTCTCCCTGTGTGGCCCTAGGAGATCCCTTTGCCCTCTCAGAGTGAGACCTTGGACTCTGGACTCCTGTTTCACAGGAGTTGGGAGAGGTTCAGAGCCTACGTGTTAGTCACTAGGCAAATAATTTCCTCAGTTCAGTGGCTTTATTAATGTGTTCAGCCCCAGTGTCAGGTACTGGGTGTGTGTGTGTAGGCAGAAGGTCTCTTCCCTTCTCTGGGCCTCTGTTACCCTCTGTCACACAGGGAGGGAAGACTTCCCTGCTTCCTTCATCAGAATACAATGAGGCCCAAGGCAGCAATGTGCGTGTGTGGGCTTCTCAGGCATACAGCAGCCTTAGTGAGGACAGTCCAGACACGGTCCTAGCCTTTGGAGGCTCACTGTCTGTGAGGGAGATCGGGGGTCTTGGCTTGTCACTAGCGGACCAAGGTGGAGCTTGGTCCTGTGAGCAGGCGATATTCAAGAAATTCTCAGCCGCGTTTGGCTTCACTGAACTCTGTCCTAGAAGTGGGTGGCTGGTCTGTGTGGGGTCAAGAGTGTTGTTGATAACTCTCATTTCTCTGTGGGTCCCTAAGACCTTCATACCTGTCGGCCCAGGAGGCAGAGAGCCGAGTGCCTTCTCCTCAGCTCTATAGAGGTCTTTGCTGAGAGCTAGCTGCCCAAACCAAGGAGGGCAGCCACACAAGGCCTTGAGTGATCTAGTGACAGAGACCTCCGCGGGTCACATGACAAAGGCCGGAGCAGTGCAGAGCACAGAAAGCCATGAAGGAGCAGATGAGGAAACACAGGAGTCCGGCCGGTGGCGTGAGGAACGATCACAGCAGCTCTAGCTGTTGGTGTCCAACAAGGTCTCTGGGGAGGTGGGTCGATTCAGGGTCACACTAGGGAAGCTGGCCACAAAGCTCTCCCACCTTCTCCTCACCTGCTGGAAAAGACAACATAGTGGGCTTCAGGTGCTGTTCCACTCACAGCCACCAGGTGGGGGTAGATCCATGAAAGAGAGGCTAAGCTCCTGCGGGAGGGGGGACTCTTCCCCCTGGGAGGCAAGGCCAGGAGGGGTGGGGGAGTCTACTCTTCTTCCCTGGTCAGAGAGCAGACAGTAACTTGCCAGAAGTTGCACTGGCCAATCTTGCCTCCTGCTCTAGTCACCCGTCCAGTCCAACATAGTATTCCATTACTATCTCAATACAGCTCTGAAAGGCTGGCATGGTGGTACATGCCTGTATTCCCAGCACTCAGGATCAAGAGTTCCAGGCCACTCTGAGCTAGAGTGAGACCCTATCTCAGACACACAGAGTTCTGACCATACCCCACCCAGGCCCCATTCCATCCTTCCTCCAGACAGCTGCTTTCAGAATGCGTTCAAGCCCCCCCCCCCCCCCCCCCCCCCCCCCCCCCCCCCCCCCCCCCCCCCCCCCCCGGTATTTTGCTTGGCTTTCTTCAGGGCAGCTGTGCTCTTAACCCTTCGCTGCCCTGGGTCCCCACCGTCCCCCAGAGAACTGATAACTCAGTTTGAAGCCGCACCTGTTGGTATTGCCTCAGCCACCGCTGGCTGCCTTCTCTCTGGGTTTGGATCAGCTGCTCCGTGTCTCCCAGGGTCCCTGGCGGTCGCTCCTGAACAGGGACCTCCAGCCCTTCTGTGCCGTCAAGGCCCTGCGACCGGGACTTCTCACGGCCCTGTCTGAGGCTCAGTGCCCGGTGGAGTCGGCCCTCCAGGGACCTCCCCTGGGACTCATGGAGCTTCCTGTAGCAGGACCGGGGTTCTCGAAAGGACCGACTGCGCAGGCTGGTCCCCATGGTTCTGGAGGCTATAAGTGCTCTGTAAGCCACTATGTGAGATGGCCCGGTGCCTCCTCTCTTAAGATGGAGGCAAAGGTCAGCTCTGCTGAGGTGACTGTCATAAACCAAAGGGCAGGCCACAAAGACCAAACATCTCTGAGTCATTTCCCTGTTGTCTCCTCACCCCGTGGGACTAGATAGCCCAGGCTGGCCTCAAACTCATAATCCTCCGGAGTGCTGGACTAGCTCCTACTGTCTTCCCTCCTCACTCTACAGGCAGCCTACCCTTGGGGACCTCGGCCTCCTCTGAACTTGGCCTTGGCCATCTGGACCACTCAACTTGTTGACATTAAGCGAAGATGCTTCCACAGCAGAGCGGAGCACAGAACACCTTCAACCTGGAACTGCCAGATCATAAATACCAGAGTGAAGTTGGGTAAGGCAGTGGGCTGGAACAGTGGACAGCTTGTTTAATGGCTACAGACTTTCAGTTTTACAAGGTGACAAGAGCTCTGGACACTTTACAAGGTGACACATAAAAACCACGACCCATAGGGGCTGGGGAGACAGCTCATTCATAAAGTGCTTGCTGAACAGGATCTGAGTTTGGCTCCCTGAGGCCCATGGAGAAAGGTGGATGTGCAGCACACACTGTCATCCCAACACCAGGGAGAGACAGGAGCCTCCCTGGGGCCTTCTGGCCTCCTAGTTAAGTTGCACTGGTGAGCTCCTGGTTCAGTGAGAGGCCCTGTCTCAGGAAGGTGAAGGCTGTCAAAATGGCTGAGTGGGTAAAGGCATTTGCCAAGACTGACAACCTGAGTTTGATCCCTGGGACTCATATAGTGGAAGGAGAGAACTGACTCCCACAGGGTGTCCTCTCTCTGCTACACATGCGCTGTGGCGCTCACACTCCGGCTCTCAAGAATACACACACACAAACAAACAAACAAATGAATAAATGTAATTTGAAAATCTAAAAAGGTGAAGCCAGGCATGGTGGCACATGTTTTTAATCTCAGTGCTCAAGAGCTACAGTCAGAGGAAATCTTTGTTAGGTTGAGACCAGCCTGGTCTACACAGCTAGTTCCTCTCAAAAAAGAAAAAAAATTAAAGGTAGAGAATGACAGAGAAAGATACCTGATGTAAACTTCTGCCCCCCCCCCCCGTAAGTCCCTCACACACATATACTACCCAGAGACACAAAGAAAAAAAAGATTGATAGTAAATATTATTTCACTACACCAGACTTTCGTTGTGTTGTTTTAGACAGGATCTTATGTAGCCCAGACTGGTCTCAAATGTGTCAGAGGATGATCTTGAACTCCTGACCCCCCTGTTTCCACCTCCTGAGTTCTTGGATTACAAGTATGAGTCACCATGCCTGGTGTAGGTAGTGCTAGGGATGGAACACAGATCCTTGTACGTTCCAGGCAAGCACTGTACCAACTGAGCTACATCCTCAGCCTAGGAGCAAAAAAAAAAAAAAAAAAAAAAAAAAGAAAAGAAATGAAGAAAAGAGAGAAACAGGACAGCCCTGGAGGTGTCAGAGGCCTGGATTTTTCCAGCCTTAGCTTTGCCCTCAATATTCTAGCAAAGCGCCTGGTTAGGAGCTCAGGCTCTGGGGACCACTGTCTTCTAAGTGAACTGCAGTCTCACTGCTGGAAGCTCTGTGACCTTGGGTTACATCCTGCTCTCCTCAGTGCCCTCAACTGTAACAGGGACCAAGAACCCAGGCCATCGTGTGGACTAACTGGGGTGCACAGGTCTGGGACACTGCAGATGCTCAATTAAAGTGAGTTGGTGGCGTTCATTCTTTGTTGTTGTTGTTGTTGTTGGCTTCTCTGGGTAGCTCTGGCTGTCCTGGAACTCACCGAGCTCCTCTTGCTCTGCCTTTGTGCTGGGATTAAAGGTGTGCGCCACCGCTCACAGCCCATGAGTGAGCTTGAGGTCACTGAACAACTCTGGGGTGCCAGTTTTCTTCTTCTACCAAGTGAGTCCTGGTGAATACACTGAGGTTGTCAGGCTCCCCTGCCAGTATGTTTGCTTACCCACTGAACCATTCCTTCAACTCATAAATAAAACTTGTTTAGAATTCAAAGTGAATCCCTGACCTTCAGCGTCAGCCTGTCCCACAAACCTCTTCTGAGGGGGACCCAGGTCTCTTGTTACTCTTCCTCACTGTGTAGCCCTGGCTGGACTGGAACTCACAGGGATCTGCCTGCCTCTGTCTCTTGAGTGCTGGGACTAAAGGCGTGTGTTGCCATGCCGGGCTACTGTTGAGACAGGATTTCCTGCAGCCCAGAATGGCCGCACTCCTGGTCCTTCTGCCTCCACCCCTAAAGTGCAAGGATTACAATTGTGCACCCCCACACCTCTTTATCCAATATACCTATGCCCCTAGTGCTAAACCACTCACCCCCCTTTCTGGTTTAAAGACTTCAGAACCTTTAGCACCCTTATCTCAGCACAGGTAATCAGCTCAGATCTCCAGTCTTTGGTCAGGGGATGTGCTCAGGGCTAACGTACTTGCCTGGAGTGTGCCAGACCTGCCTTCTAGCCTCTGCCCCACAGAAACTTAGGGCTGTGGGACTAGGGCATGATCTGAGCCCAGAAGGTGCTGCTGACTCACTGGCCCCTGCATCAAGCTCATAACTGGAGACCACCTCCTTGTTAAAAACTTGGCAATTTTTTGTTTTGTTTTGTTTTTCCGGAGCTGAGGACCGAACCCAGGGCCTTGGGCTTGCTAGGCAAGTGCTCTACCACTGAGTTAAATCCCCAACCCCTGTTTTTTGTTTTTTGTTTTGTTTTGTTTTTTTTTTTTTTTTTTTTTTTGAGACATGGTCTCACACAGCCCAGCTAGAACTTAACTAAATAGCCAAGGCAGACTTTGAACTCTTTTATTTTTTTGAGACAAATCTATGTAGCCTTGGCTAGCCTGGAACTCACTATGTAGACCAAGCTGGCGTCAAACCTGGAGATCCGCCTACCTCAACCTCCTGAGTGCTGGGACTAAAGGTGTGCGCCACCACTGCTGGCTCTTTACAATATTCTTCTTCTTCTTCTTCTTCTTCTTCTTCTTCTTCTTCTTCTTCTTCTTCTTCTTCTTCTTCTTCTTCTTCTTCTTCTTCGAGACAGGGTTTCTCTGTGTAGTTTTGGTGCCTGTCCTGGATCTCACTCTGTAGACCAGGGTGGTCTTGAACTCACAGAGATCCACCTGGCTCTGCCTCCTGAGTGCTGGGATTAAAGGCATGCGCCACCACTGCCCAGCTTTACAATATTTTTCATTTATTTATTTATTTTATGTACGTGAGTATTTTGCTGACATGTGTGTATGTGCACCACATATGTGCTGGTGCCTGCCAAGGCCAGAAGAGGCAGTCAGTCCCTTGGAACTAGAGTTATGGATGATTTGTGGACCAGACCTAGATCTGAGTGATGCCTCCCAAGAAGTCTGCTTGACCCCTTGGTGCTGGGTGAGGTAGACTGTCCCTCCGGCAGCCCAAACATGCACACATCCCCCTTAACCCTTCACTGAGCATCCCCCTGGAGCTCGGAAACCCTTAAGTACTGAAGGCTGTTAGTTACCCATTGCCACCCACAAGACAAATTACCCGGGGGAAGGAATAGAGGCCCTGTATGAGACCAAAATGTCTTCCTTCCTCTCTTTCTAATTTTTTTTTTTAAGACAGAGTCTCACAGACCTGCTTGGCCTAGAACTCACTATGTAGACCAGGCTGGCCTTAAACTCACAAAGATCCACTTGCCTGTCTCCCCAGTGCTGGGACTAAATTCCTGCACCACCACGCTCTGCCCTCATTTGGTTTTTACCCATTATCTTTCAAGCAGTTTTTGCTGCTTCTGGAGCTAATCCCTCCATGGATTTCAACTAAACCTCCAGAGAGCTTAATGAAATTTAGTGGCTTAAACAACATTAGTGGCTTAAAACAGCACACCGTTATTCTCTCTTTGTTCCTGGGCTGGGGGAAGTGGAGTGACTGAGCCCGGGGCTGGCCTCTCAAGGGCTCCCATCAAGGTCTACAGTCTCCCCCAGGTGGCCCTGGTGGCGGTCTGCTTCAAGCTCAGACTCCGGAGCTGTTGACAGGATTCTGCCTGGGCCTCAGTTTCTGCTTGATCTCAGATTCTGCCTGGGCGGTTGCTGCCTGATCCTCTTCAAAAAGCTACTCACAACAGAGCAGCTTGTTCCAATCAGTGAGCAAGTGTGAGTGCGGGCTGGAGCTCAGGGGCAAGACAGGAGCCAGGCTCTGGGCTGTAATGCTGGAAGTGGCATTCATCACTTTCTGCTAGACTCTGTTTCTTAGAAGCAAGTTGCCAGGCCCGGCCTGCTCTCAATGAGGAGGGCTGCACATGGAGGCTCTGCTTCGTAATTATTTTTAAAATTTGTATTAAAAACTTAAATATAGCCAGCACTCAGAGGCAGAGCCAGGCAGATCTCTGTGAGTTCGAGGCCACCCTGGTCTACAGAGTGAGATCCAGAACAGGCACCAAAACTACACAGAGAAACCTTGTCTCAAAAAAAAAAAACAAAAAACAAAAAACAAAACAAACAAAAAAATTTAAATATATATACAATATATTTTGAGCATATTCTTTCCCCTCCCCCAACTCCTCCTAGAGCCTCCCTACCCATTCAACTTTATGTTCTTTCTCGCTCTTTCTTTAAAAAAAAAAAAAAAGATGACCAAAAAGAAAAAAAAAAAAGAAAGAAAGAAAATCAAAACACAAAAAAACCCCCAAGGAGTCTGTTTTGTATTAGCCAACTACTCCTGGGCCTGGCCTGCCCTGGAGTGCAGCTGATAAATCCAGTGACTAGTTTTGGGTTTTGTCAACTTAGCACAAGCTAGAATCACCTGGGAAGAGGGACCCTAAGCTACAAAACCACTTCCATCCGATTGGCCTGTGGGCAAGTCTGTGAGGGCACTGTCTTGATTAGTGACTGATGTGGGAGGGCCCCGCCCACTGTGTGTGGTGCCATCCCAGGACAGGTGGCCAGGGTTGGATAAAAAAGCAAGCTGAGTGCGTTATGAAGATCCAGCCAGTTAACAGCGTTCCTCCACGGTCTCTGCTTCAGGTCCTGCCTCCAGGTTCCTGCCCTGACTTCCCTTCACAATGGGCTGTGATCAGGATGCATTAAGTCAAATAAACCATCCCTCCCCAAGTTCCTTTCTGGTCATGGCCTTTGTCACGGCAATGGAAAGCCAACTAGGACAGAGGGGAACATCAGCAGCCTGGGGTCACGGGGTCATCCTAGAGAGTCCACTGCAGGGGCTTAGAGCTCCAAACCCAGGGCACTGCTGAAGTCTAGGGCCTTGTTCTCTTTTGTTGCCTAGGCTGCTCTGGGACTGTGTAGCCTCAGTTAGCTTCAGACTTGCACAATCCTCCTGTAACGATCCTTTCAGGGAAGGGATAATTCTAGAGAGACACTGTGCTATCAGCCCATCACAGTAACAGACCCAAAGAACATCATTTCTCTAGGAATCTCATGCTGGGCAGAAGGAAAGGCTGAAGACCAGGTGCTCGCCAGAGGAGTAGCCTGCCTCCCAGGAAGAGATTTCACTTAGCTTTGACAGTTTATCTCTCCCAAGTGCTAGGATTACAGATGGGAGTCACCACCCAGCTAGGGTTCTAGTTTCCTTAGTTCAGACAACTGGTCTACATTTTTTGGTTTTTAGATGCTCACAGAGAAGCTGGGATAGTTCTCAGGTTCAACACCACCTTATTTTTTTTTTTTCTTTTTCGAGACAGGGTTTCTCTGTGTAGCTTTGCGCCTTTCCTGGAACTCGCTTTGGAGACCAGGCTGGCCTCGAACTCACAGAGATCCGCCTGGCCCTGCCTCCCGAGTGCTGGGATTAAAGGCGTGCGCCACCACAGCCCGGCTCAACACCACCTTATTACTTGGTGACAAGTGCCCTTACCCACCAAGCTTCCCACAGGTGAATCAGAGCAAATAGTAAACAATCACACTTTTACTGAAAAACTACTGCAAAGCTTCCCGGAGGAGAGCACTCGGTGCTTAAGGTTTCCTGTATGGGAGGGAGCTTAATTTACAGAGCCAAGAACAGAGCATGTTCAGATGTGCAGGGGCTGATGTGGGTACGTCCTGCCTCCTAAGCTTCTTCCTCATTTGGAAGCCCAAACTCCCTCGGTTAACAAGCACAAGGGCATGTCCTGCTGTAAGCCCACTGCAGAAACAGGTCTGGGCAGAGGTCAGAAAAACTATCTGTACAACCAGGTCCCAGGCACTCCTTATCTTATGGGAGATCTTGGAAGTGCATTGTTCAAAGCTCTTCTAGGTTTAAGGCTGTGTCCTTAAAGATGCAAATGTCAAAACAAAGCCCTTTGCTTGACATCTGAAGTCTGTACTTTT